TTTGTTGTCAGCCTGCTTTATAATTTGCAGTATTTTTCATGTAACATCTCGTTACCCTTTTTCTTTTCCACCAATGCCAAATTTATCTGCACTCTCTACAATTCTTCATTTCTATTTAATTCTCTCTTTTTTAACCTCACTATTATTAAAACTTCTCCTATAAATGTCACCAGTAACTCATTTTTTTTTATTTTTTAATTTTACGTATGTATTTTTTTTTTTTTTTTAATTTATATCCAAGTTAGCATACAGTGCAATAATGATTTCGGGAATAGATTGCAGTGATTTATCCCCTGTGTAACTGACTAATTTTTAAAGCCAGTGGCTTATTTTCAGTTGTTTTATTTGACCTTTCAGTAGCTCATACATAGTTTTGACCTCCCATTATTTCATGAACTAACCTGCTCCCTCAAGCCCCAGCACACTGTTCTCTGCTGGTCCTTTTTGACCTTCTCTACTGCTTGTGGCTCACTCCGGGCTTTCTTGCCCATTCCCATGACTTCCTTCACAGTTAACATCTGTTGTTTGTGTCCCAGCTATTTCCAGTCCATGTTCCTCTCCTGATCTTGCTAGAGTTATATTTCCTGGTGCCTTCTACGACTCAGAGAAAATTTGTCCTGTTCTGGAGCTCTCATCTCTGGGCTTCCATCCCTGTTGACAGCATAGGGCCCGGGTCCTGTTAGTTCGAAGTCCTGTGTAAATCACTCATTCACCCCATCTTCTCTCCTCCTGCTGTCAGGTCAGTCTAAACTCAAATCTTTTCCTGCCTAGATTTTTGTAGCAATTCTCTAACTAGTCTTCCTATTCACTTCAAAGCATCCCATGCAATGTTGTCAGAAGTTAATCCTTCCAAAATGCAAGTTTGACCATGCCACTCTTCCTTTTAAAATCCTTTAAATCCTCATTTCCTTCAAAATAAAAATCAGACTCCTCCAAGATGGCATCGCAGCAGCCTGGAATAGTGGGAATGCAGAGACTTTGCCATCAGATATGCCAGATTTGAGATTCCAGCTCTCTCACGTTATTACGTGTGTGTAATCTTGAGCAAGTTACTTAAATTCCATTTCCTAAGCTCAGTTTATAGATGACCCTCGTGTAAATTGAGGGTCAGTACTGTATACTTCCCAGGCAGTGGAAAGAATTAAGTAAGCTCTTTCATGCAAACATCCTAGCAGTAACAACCTCACACTGATTTTCTTCTTTCTCTTCAAATCCCTCATAGTCTGGCCCCAGTCCTGTGTCACTTCGTCAGTCACTCAGCTTTCTTAACATGCTGTGTATACGTACACTCATGCCTGCCTGCTTGGTTTTCTTTCTGCACCCTGCTGCCCTTTGGCATGAGTAATTGTCCTTTTATGTGTATTCCAATAACTTTATTAAGATCCCTAGCATTTATTACATTGTCATTGTCATTGTCATTATTACCTGGGCCTTCTATGCCATCCTTCTGGCTGTTTGAGGGAGGACTGGTTTTACTTGATGTACTCATGGCCTCACGTTCTGTAATGTGGAAGGGCTAGTCTTGATTACAGTGTAGCCCCACAAAACTATAAAGTAAGGTCTTTGAACCATAGGCCTGTACATTTCTTTTTCTAGTGCTCTGCATAGAAATTATACGTAGCATCTGATACATTCTCACGAGTGTTGTTTGAAATTCAGAAAATGTGACCATTATGTTTTGAAAGTAAAGATAGGTCCATTAAAAGCTATGTATGTCAGATGCTTCTAGTACTCCTTGCCCATCACACACCTGTCCTTGTATACCCATTATTTTTTAGTTGTTAGTATTTACATGTGGACATTATATTGTTTCTCAGAATCAAATGCCTCCAGAATATGTGAGTTTTTACACATCATGTTAAAATGTATCTGATCACATCACTTAATAAAATTATTTTGTAATTGTGTTGTAGATTATTTAGTTTTACTGTGGAAACCATAACATACATTTTCACTTTGTATCAACAAAGTTTTTCACTGTATTTTTTTTTTAACTGGGTTCCACACCCAATGTGGGGCTAGAACTCGTGACCCTGAGATCAAGAGTTGGATGTTCTACTCACTGAGACAGCCAGGCACCTCTTTTGATGTATTTTGTGCTCCCAAATTCAGTTCTTCTCATTGAGAAAAACCATTGCAGAGAACTTGCCACTTAATAAATTACATAAGTGGCACTTGGCTGGCTCAGTCAGTGGAGCATGTGACTCTTGATTTGGGGGTTGTGGGTTTGAGTCCCATGTTGGGGGTACTTAAAAATAATATCTTTAGGGGCGCCTGGGTGGCGCAGTCGGTTAAGCGTCCGACTTCAGCCAGGTCACGATCTCGCGGTCCGGGAGTTCGAGCCCCGCGTCAGGCTCTGGGCTGATGGCTCAGAGCCTGGAGCCTGTTTCCGATTCTGTGTCTCCCTCTCTCTCTGCCCCTCCCCCGTTCATGCTCTGTCTCTCTCTGTCCCAAAAATAAATAAACGTTGAAAAAAAAATAATATCTTTAAAAATAAATACAATTTTAAAAATGATAAATACATAAGAACAGATTAGACTGTATAGTTGAGAGTAGGCTATGACTATAAACCTATAAATCTATACATAAGTTACAGGAGTTATTTCCTTTTTTCCAGAAATAATGATTTGTTTAAAGATACTTACTATCTTTAAGATATTTGTTAAGGTATCTTGCTCACTTGACTGTCCAAACCAAAAACTTCAAGTAGTTGTCTCTTTGTTGAGAAACTACATCTCAGTTATCACCTTGATTCCTTTATCTTATGTAGCTTTGAGAATGTTTATGTTCTGTGAGCTTGTTTGCTTTTTATTACTGAAAAAATTGGTGGTTGACATAACAGGAACTTGGTTTGTAGGCCTGGTTCTTCAGCTGAGCAAGTCACATAACCTCATTGGACTTTAGTTTCTTTATATATAAGACTAGAAGATCATCTAAAGGATCTTCTAGTATTAAAACTCTTTTTTATGATTAGACTCCTTTGTGCTTATCTTTTTTTAAAGAATATTAACTTACCCATGTTAATTATAGAAATCCATTTATAACTAATGCATTTATTTGATTCTTAGTCCCAATAGGAGGTAATCATCTTAAGAGTAATGAAGGTGATTTAGCAGGGAGGAAGTTATGGCTGGCTTATTTGCGTACTTCCATAATATTTAGAATAATATACACTTTACAGATGATGGTTCACTTCCTTTTCTTTTTAAATGGGGAAGTTACGGGCACCTGGGTGGCTCAGTTGGTTAAGCGTCCAACTTCGGCTCAGGTCATGATCTCACAGTTCGTGGGTTCGAGCCCCGTGTTGGGTTCTGTGCTGACAGCTCAGAGCCTGGAGCCTGCTTTGGATTCTGTGTCTCCCTCTCTCTCTGCCCCTCCCTTGCTCATGCTCTCTCTCTGTCTCAGAAATAAATAAAATATTAAAAAAATTTTTTTTAATGGGAAGTTACTTGGTTGTTACTTTATTAGGGGAAATTAAATGGCAAGGCTAGGATGAGAATCCAAGGTCCCTGACTTGTGCTGTTATACTGTGATACACAGCCCAGGAAAAAAATCATTCTCCCGTAGTGTGATGTTTGATCACGTAAGAAGCTTAAACTATATTGGAGAATGATAGTTCACCATACAGCAGAAATTTCATGTCATAGGAATGAACTTGGGTTATTGGGCAGAAACAGGGTCTCGGATTAGGTCTCCTGCATTAGTTGTAGGTAGAGTATGGTGCATGGTAGGCTCTCAGTGTTTACTGAATGATTATAGTCTGTTTCCAAAAGAAAAAAAATTCCGAGTAGGGGAGGGCTGCTGACACTTGCCTTTGCAGGCCCCTTCAGGTGATTGTTCCTGCTGATTTTGGTCTGTGGCAAGTAACAGTGATGGGTTGAACATAGTTGTTTGTGTAGGAATCCTGGAAGTTTGGTGTTTAGAACACAAAATGTTGTAAAATTTAGACCACCAGTCCTGAATATAGATTAAACCAAATGAAGCTTTGGTTTTGGTTTAATAAAATTATAATCTAAAAATTTTTTATTTTTAATGTTTGTTTACTTTTGAGAGAGAGAGGCAGCATGAGTGCAGGAGGGGCAGAGAGAGAGAGAGGGAGACACAGAATCCGAAGCAGGCTCCAGGCTCTGAGCTGTCAGCACAGAACCTGATGCGGGGCTCAAACTCACAAACCACAAGATCATGACCTGAGCTGAAGTTGGATACTCAACC